GTCAAGGAGGAGAGGGGCATGCTGTCAAGGGGAAGGGCGGCATGCTGTCAAGGAGGAGAGGGGCGGCATGCTGTCAAGGAGGGGAGGGGCGGCATGCTGTCAAGGAGGGAGAGGGCGGCATGCTGTCAAGGAGGGAGAGGTGGCATGCTGTCAAGGAGGGAGGGCGGCATGCTGTCAGGAGGGAGGGCGGCATGCTGTCAAGGAGGGGGAGAGGGCGGCATGCTGTCAAGGAGAGGGCGGCATGCTGTCAGGGGAGGAGGGGCAGCATGCTGTCAGGAGAGGGCGGCATGCTGTCAGGAGGGGGAGGGCGGCATGCTGTCAAGGAGGAAGGCGGCATGCTGTCAAGGAGGAGAGGGCAGCATGCTGTCAAGGAGGGGGAGAGGGCGGCATGCTGTCAGAGGAGGGAGGGGCAGCATGCTGTCAAGGAGAGAGGGCAGCTGCTGTCAAGGAGGGCAGCATGCTGTCAAGGAGGGGGAGAGGGGCGGCATGCTGTCAGGAGGGGAGAGGGCGGCATGCTGTCAGGGAGGGGGAGGGGCGGCATGCTGTCAAGGAGGGGAGAGGGCGGCATGCTGTCAAGGAGAGGGCGGCATGCTGTCAAGGAGGGGGAGAGGGCGGCATGCTGTCAAGGAGGAGGGAGGGCAGCATGCTGTCAGGAGGGAGGGGCGGCATGCTGTCAAGGAGAGGGCGGCATGCTGTCAGAGGGCGGCATGCTTCAGGGAGGAGGGGCGGCATGCTGTCAAGAGGGAGGGGCATGCTGTCAAGGAGGGAGGGCAGCATGTGGAGGGGCGGCATGCTGTCAAGGAGGGAGGGGCGGCATGTGTCAGGAGGGAGAGGGATGCTGTCAAGGAGGGGAGGGGTGGCATGTTGTCACGGAGGGGAGGAGGTGGTATGCTTTCAAGGAGGGGAAAGGGAGAGGGAGAGAAGGCGAGTGTAGAGATTAGAGAGAGAGATGACAAAGGGTTGAAACATGATCCTCCTCCTCCTCCTCTCTCTCTCTCTCTCTCTCTCTGGGGTCAGTGGAACAAATGAAAATATAATTGATTTTCCTGAATAATGTCTCGGGTTCCTCCTCTTACCTCGGGAGAAACCAGAAACGCACTCTACCCTACAACGAACTCTCTTCACATCCCGCACTCTATCCAATAATGAACTCTATATATATCCCACGCACTCTATCCTATAACGAACTCTATACACCCCACGTACGCCACCTTACAACGATCTACCACACTCTACCCTTCAGCGAACTCTACGTCCCCCACGCACTCTACAACGAACTCTACATCCCAACGCACTCTACCTAACAACGAACTTTACATATTCTGCAATCTACCTCACAACTAACTCTACATCCCCCACGCACTCTACCTCACAACTAACTCTACATCCCCCACGCACTCTACCTCACAACTAACTCTACATCCCCCAAGCACTCTACCTCACAACGCACCTCTTTCCACACACCCTCATGGACGGTAGGAGGGAATACACACACACTCACCTGTTATGTGGCTTCATCACCTCACCAAACACAAGACTTTCTCTCGTTGTCCTCACCATCACCTCCTCCCACTCTTCCTCCCGCTATTCCTCCTCCTCCTCCTCCTTCTCCTCCTCCCGTCCATCACCAGGTTGTCGGCCTCTCCTCACACACACACACACACACACACACACACACGTATCACCTGACCTGACCCCAAGCTGACATCTCCCATTCAGACAGACAGACAGACAGACAGACAGACAGACAGACAGATAGATAGATAGATAGATTGATAGATAGATAGATAACCGAATAAGTGGATGATTGAAGTTGAAAAAATATAAATATAGTTGATAAAATCCTTAGAATTTTACAAGACTTTATTTCTGTCATAAATTGTACGTTAATTAAGGTTATTGATAATAATAATAATAATAATAATAATAATAATAATAATAATAATAATAATAATAATAATAATAATAATAATAATAATAAACTAGATCACTAGAGTATCAGTTGTTCGTGGTAGGTTCATCAATCACCTGAACCAGTCACTGTAACAGGGTCATGGAGACGAGAATTTCAGTACCTTATATGCTGCTGTATGCTCTTTCACATCCTTTGTTCTTGTTCCGTGCCTTTTACTTTTCATCCTTTTCCATTCTCTCTCTCCTCTTTGCTCCTCTTTCTATCTGTTATTGATTATTCCTTTACGAGATCATTTATATTTTATTCGCTATTACGCCATCTTTCACTATGGCGGGGGCTCGGCCAGTGTTGGATAAGTACTACGAACAGGACAGCGTTCTCTTTGTAAACAGACAATACGAACCTAAAACAATCTATTATAAACTAACTTAACTTAAAAAAAAACTAATCAAATCTATCGTAAAATAATCTAACTTTAACTAACTTAAGAGATACGAACTTAACCGCATTATCGTAAAATTATTAATCTAACTTAACCTAACTTAAGAGATACGAACTTAACCTCATTATCGTAAAAAATCTAACTTAACCTGACTTAGATTAGGTTAGGTTAAGTTAGAGAGGTTTATATTAAAAGGGTGTGGAGGCTGAGTGGATATAGCGCTCAACCCTTGCTTCTAAGAGTCCCTGGTTCGATCTTTGGTTATCCTCGGTACATCCAACGGTAAAGGAGTACCTCACTTTACAGATGGTGAAGAAAAGGTGGTCGAGTGCAGTGCCAATGGATTAGTATACAGTATGCCGTATCCTCATTGTGCTTAACCGAGTCCATCTTAACCTATCCTATTTTATCCTATCCTGACCAAAACTAATCTATCCCATCTTATATTCTCGTATTTTAACCTATTCTATGCTATTCTATCCTGATATATCGTTCCCTCATTTAACCTACCCTATCCTATCCTATCGTGTAGCCCTATGCCAGGTAAACCTCACTAACTCTATCCAATTTTTAACCTATCCTCTCCTAACCCAAGCTTACCTCACCTAACATATGCATGACTGGTTGTTACGATTAGATAGGATAGAACAGGATAGGGTAAGATAGGATAGGTTCGTGCTTCGATTATAGCAACAAGAATTATAGGAAACAAATTATCTAAGATTAAATTATATAGAGAATTATAGAATTACCTGAGTGCGTGTTTGCCATTATTAAAACCTGTCTATTAATCTAAAAAAAAAACGTAAATTAATATGAAAATATATAAGAAAATATAATTATTACTACAAAAAAAAACAATCTTTAGATCTAGTCAAGTTTAACTCATGAACAATTATCAATGAATAAAAAAAAATATGAGTGGTAAAATTATTAAGAAAAACATAAATTTTTTGCTTTTTGGCTCTAATCATTATCATCCTCACCTGAAGTAACTTAGGATGAGGTAAATGATTACAGGTAAGCTACTGACTCACGTTGTGTGTTTACTCTCTCCCCGTCTCCTCGGCCCACAGTGGAGGAGTTACTCTATAAACACACAAAAGGCCCCGTGGTTTAAGACTGGTTAAGGTCTGTGATTTACGTCTAGGTAAGAACTATGTTTAGGTCTTATTATGTTTTACCAGTATACGTTCGTCTTGGATAATGTACAGTGGATTATAATTCTAGGATATTATTAAAGATTCAGTTATTATTATTATATTATCGAACAGGATAAACGCACACATACTTACAAGGTCCCAAGTTGAACTGATCTAACCCCTGGGTGATACGTTATTTAATCCTACACGAGATTAGAGGAGGATTTAGCACTCGTGTCACGCCACTTACATCTTCAGGAGGATTATACACGAGGCTCTACCCTACACCGTTGTCCTGCTCACTAGTCATCACCAAGACCTTGACTGACTTTTCAAAAATTCACAAAGCCACCTGAAGGATTCGGGGCAGTTGTACTTTAACCGGTCACTTCACTTTAGCAGAACCCCAAGGTGCTTCCCATAACTTAAACAATTGATCACCGGACCTATTAGGCTTAAGATCTAATAGTTAAAGGACCTATTATGACTGGGATCTATTATATGGAACCTATTAGGTATGGGACCAATCAGAACTATACCCTACTTGGAGTGGGACCTTTAAGGGCCCATCTGACTAATAACCATCCCTCGTAAGGTAAATTTAGACATAACTAATACGTGTTGTAGCATAACCTTGTAGTGTTAGAGGTGAAAATATACAATTAACACCGCAGAGCTCGGCCACATCACCCGCCTCACCCACAGGTAACGTTATGTGGTGTCTTCGAGAGCTGTGTGTTGACTGTCTGGGTTAGTGTCTTAGATTTCTCTCTACTTGTGTCTTTACATCTGTCACTGGCGGACCCAATGCTCTTCCATGGGGTGGGAGAGTGGGTGGGGGTGGATCTGGTGTGGGTTGGGAGTGGGTGTGGATGGGGGAGGATTGGAGATGGTGATGGGGAGTGGGATGTGGGTTGAAGAGTGCGTGGGGTAAATAGAGTGGGTGGGGGAAGGGGGTGAGTGGGGATGGGAGAATAGGTGTGGGGAAGGGATTGGGGTAGAGGAATGAGAGGGGATGGGTGAAATGAGTATCGGTGGGGTGAAGGAATAAGTGTGATTGGAGGATTGTATGCTGGTTGGGGAGTGGAGGGAAGTGGGGAAGTGTTTGGGGGAGTAGGGAAAATATTTAGGGAGTAGGGAAAGTATTTGGGGGAGTATGGAAAGTATTGGGGGAGTAGGGAAAGTATTTGGGGAGTAGGGAAAGTATTTGGGGGTAGTGACAGTGTTTGGGGAGTAGGGAAAAGCTTATCAGTGTGTTCTATGACTCTCCCTCACTCTCCTTTGGACGGTTCCCTGCTGCTCGATCGTTACTGTAGGGGATCAACACCTCTTCTGGATCCGCCCTTGGTATGTATGTATGTATGTATGTATGTATGTATGTATGTATGTATGTATGTATGTAACAAGCCATAATCAACAATGCTTACTTCACCTTGTTGCTGTTACCTGTACCATAACAAGTAGGTATTCTTCTAACTGAGTGGTAATAAAATTCCTCAAATATCATGCTAGAATATATTTTGGAACAAGACAGAATCTGTACATGGAGTGTCAGGGTCGACTGTCACTCCAAGCAGCTGAGTCGAGTTCCTGTTCCTGCAGCCCTTCGTCGTCGCCGCTTGGATATCGTCGTCTCTTCTTCGGGATGGTCTTCTTACTGGAAGGTGATGCCTCGGCGGCGCTGGTCCTCGGCGATGCGGATCTGTTCGATGGCGTGGGCGGGGAGTGGGTGGGGTGTGGGGATCAGAGGGGATGAGGGGCGGTATCCCAATTCATCAGCGACGTAGCGAACCTCACCGTAGCCGCCGCTGGGGAATGGGAACCTGAAGGAGAGCAAGAGGATGAGGATTGATCCTGAATACAATGTAAACAGACAGGCAAAACGAGTCTCATTTGTTATCAGGAAAAAACAAAACAACATCACTTGCAAGTCTCACGCCTTCTGACGCACTGGTAACAAGGTCTTGCTCGCTCTCTCGGTCTCTCTCTCTCACGACCACAGATAAAATCAGATCAACAGTTCATGTCCCTCAACTCTCTAGCTTATTTGATCACATTTGTCAGCCGCTCTGAATACAAGTTTTCCATATCACGAAACATTATACAGAATATTTCCAAGACGTCATCCCAAGGGAGTTGTCCTTAATATATAAACTTGCCTGACTGAAACATTCATATTGTTAACGTTAAGTAATGTTCTAGTGTGTAGTCATGAACAACCTCACGTTCCTGCCATCAGCAACTCGTCTTTTTAACTGAGAGACTTGAGAACGTAGGAACATTGGTGGGATCTCACTAAGAACCATGGATGTTAGAAATGTGTGGAGAGGACCAACCTGTAGGAACCCTGGATGTTGCTCTGGCCCCTGGAGCCCGGGCGGCCAACAGCGCTGACGGCGATGCCATTCTCGGTCTCGAAGTCGTAGCGGAAGTTGCCATCGCCGTTATCCTGTCGGTCGTCCCTCAGGATGGCGATATGCCTGTAGTCTGGATGATAAGGATGGGTGTAATGCCGACTAAACTGCGGGGCGGCGACAGCGACGGCGGCGAGGCAGGCGAGGATCACCTGAATGGGACAGAACAAAAACATCTCCCTTAACCATGATGTACAGTTTGGTACAAAGATCTATAACATTGCATTGATTTTCTCTCTGCCTTCCAAACTATCAACTACCTTAGAGAATTTAACATGCAGACCATCACATAACTATTTTCTTCGATTTGAACTCACGAGCTTCATGTTGGCTGATTGAGTATGGGCTGAGGATGTTGGCTGAGTGAGGACCAGCTGAGGATGATGTCTGAGAGTTGGGGCGAGGCTTTATATACCCAACTCGAGGTCAGGTGATGCTGCTCTTCTCCAGTTGTTGCAGCTCACCTGTGAGGGTCACACAGGGTCATGGTGCATATTCACAAGTGTCATCAGCAGGTCACTGGGGCGTGTAGAGCGGAAGATAATTCCTTAAGGATATTTCCAAAGTTTCTTAAGATGTTGCAGACACTTTTACAGTTTATCATCCTGCAACGTGCAATTAGAGTTGCGTGGAAGTCCAAATACAAATGGAAGTAAATGCTATTATTTTAGGTCACAGAGGAACGTATTTCAGCGCAGCAGTAAAGGAATGATACCAGTTTTTGTCATTATTTTAACTTGAAAAATTACCTCGACAGTTTCTGCCATGTGCAATCAGAGGATGCAGATCATTTCAGCTACACTTGCATATGAAAATAAATGTCTTCCAATGACAACGAAAACTTATCTTACAGCCGGAGAAATAATTGCGTCATTTTGTTATACGATTATGTTAAGAAATTCTCTCGATAATTTCCTTAATGTCTAATCACAAGACACCTACTGTAATCTTATCAGATGTATCTATAAGTGGAGATGAATATTTACCATGACGGAGGTTGTCTTAGCTTAATAAAATGGTAAAATAATTAAGTAATTTTGTCTATTTTGTCTTACCGTTAACAAAGGAAATTCCGTCGACAATTTTGGTTATCTGTGATCAAGGAAACTGTTGCTATTTACATAATTGGAAAGATTAAGTTATATTAAAGAGAAGCCTTTCACATTAACTGTATTGTGTAAATGGGGAATATTTAACATCATTAAAAAATAACAGTTATGGCTAAAATCACCTCGACACACATAGCAACATCTGACATTATCTACTTACGGTTTATAAATGCGATTGGTTTGTAACTCGATTTTAATTATGACTTAAATCTAAAAATCACAGACACACAAAAAGCTCAATATCACAACTAATAATAAAAGTATAAAATAAGACGCTATGCTCCCAATCTCTCTTACCTATTCTCAAGTCTCAGGTGTCTATAGGGAGTTGTGGAGAGCCATCATCACTTTACGAGACTGTTAGCTTCATAAATAGACTTCAAGCTTCAGACGACCATACAAATAATTATGTAACAGGTTAATGAGATAAAATACTAAATTATAAAGAGAAATACGAAGAAACTGAAGAAAATTAAGAATAATGAAGAAAATGAAGAATAAAGGTGTTTGACATATGACACTGTGACGAAATGACATTAGGTTTTCATTAGCTTCTGATGATTATTGTAGCAGTTCATGGGATAGATGGGAGAAGGTTTATTGGCTGTTTTGGTACAAGTACACAGAAGCATAGGTCAGTATTAGTCTTTTAAGATATATAGCCACTTACTAGGAGACAAGGGGGGAGGGAGGAGGGGTACGTGTATATGTGTGTGTGTGTGTGTGTGTGTGTGTGTGTGTGTGTGTGTGTGTGTGTGTGAAGAGTTACATTGTGTTTATTAAAATTATAGCCTTAAACAGGTGAGATAACTTTTAATCTCACTCACCTGGGGGTAATTACCAGCCATCATTCCAACATTACCATTGAGGTTATGAATGTGACCCACACCACAAACACACACACACACATACACACACACACACACACACACACATACAGAGTACAGTGTTGAACAGCGCCAAAAACTAACAGATCAATGGTAAGACTCAGTTCTTTGTGCACTGTAAAACTAGACAATGGATCCGTGGACGATAGCGTGATAGTGTTAGTAAAATCCATCTATCAAGCGACACACTGCCCATCACATCATCCTCTTATCGTCACGTCTCTATCTTTTAGTTTGGGTCATAGTTTCTGCACCATCCTTACTCTCCCGCTCACCTACAGAACGTCACACAGAAGACTACAGGACCATTGCCTTTCCAACCACTGTAGAAAACATCAGTGACTCATAGTTTACTTGTTTGTTCACTCTATATGTGTTTTTATTTTTGTTCTGAATGTTTTTGTTTTATGTTGACTCTTACTCCAGTGTTTTCCCAACTTTAGACAGCATTATCCTACTAACTCAACAGTGTCGACGCCCTTCTTCACATTCTAATAATTTTTTTTACTTGTTTTGGTGTTTTTTTCCTTTGTAATAAAAAAAATTGTTAAATATCTAAATTAACAAAATATTTAACCCTGGAAGCAATCATTTAGTTTATTAGTCTGAGGTGTAAGCTTGTAACCCAACACACAATTTCTCGAATCTCGACCAGTGAGGAAATATCGACTCTCAGTTCTTTTTCTATTATTTTCTGAGAACGATACTGAGTCTTCGTGACAACAACAGTAGATAGTCTCGCTTCTTACAAATATGATGTCACATGATTCAAAAGAATGTTGATGGCCTTGTCTGATATGATGGGTTGGTTCTTTTTGAAATGGAGCCAAAACAATTATTGGTTCCAATAGTTGCTGTAACAAATCATCTCTTGAAAAATCTATGTGTTGTTTTTGTTCAAAAGTTGTCAACACAAAGACAGTGTTAGCAGACGATGATTTTTTTTTTATCCAGTCCAGTTTTGAGAAATTTATGTCCTCAAGATAAGATAAAAACCGCTTCTGTAAAACGTTCATTGTTGCTTGCATTTTATTGTTGAAATATATATGATGCAGAGAACTTATCGCATACTTTTATTTTCTTAATAAATTTTTCCTTGGTTGCAGTTTTTCCATAAAAACATTTGACTTAAGTAAATTTATTTAAATGGTTCAGTTTTTAAGCCGTTTACTCAAATATTTCATGCCCTCAGCCACCGGTACAACCCCCCAGCAACCGGTACAACCCCCAGTAACCGGTAACACTCCCCAGCAACCGGTACAACTCCCCAGCCATCGGTACAGCCTCCAGCCACTGGTACAACTTCCCCAGCCACTGGTACAACCTCCAGCCACCGGTACAGCCTCCAGCCACCGGTACAACCCCCAACCACCGGTACAATCCCCAGCTACCGGTACAGCCTCCAGCCACTGATACAATCCCACTCCCTAGTACAACCTCCCAGCAACCGGCACAGCCTCCCAGCCACCAGTACCCTTCGACAGTCACCGGTACCTTTCTCAAAACAATTACCGTTCCCCCTCCTCCCCACACGCCACCGGTATACTGGGAAATACTGTAGTTCATCTCCCCATAATCAGCATTACAGAGCAGACCACATTACCGGTCGATGTTGTACATGAAACTTCATTCCAACGACAAGAATGGTACACACGACTTCTAGTACAGCTGTATCCAGTGGGTCAGGCCTTTCACTGTCTTCCTGTACTGACTTTTTCTGTACCCTTGTATCTCAGACCTTTATTATTATTATTGGAATTATCATCATGACCGTCATTTTTTTTGTAATTATAGTAGCATAGGAGTAGTAGTAATAGTGCTATGAGCAGCGACAGTAGACATAGTAGTAGTTGTTGTAGTCACCGTAACTTAGCTCTCGATGCTGCACATAGGAGGAACGAGAACGACAAGATAAGGGCATATGGGGAGAGAATTCAGAACGTTGATCAAGGCAGCTTCACTCCTCTGGTGTTCACAACCTCTGGTGGGATGGAACCAAGTGCAAGATGTTTCTACACATGTACGCCAGACTCGCGGAGGTGATATCCGAACAGACGCAGCAGCCCAGAAGTTATGTTACAGCCTGGTTGAGATGTCGGCTGTCCTTCTCTCTCCTTGGGTCTGCTTTGCTCTGTCTCAGGGGAACGAGAGCATCGGCCCCAAAGCCGACAACAGTTGCAGATATTGACTTTAAGGCAACAGGCACTGAATGCCGCATAGATCTGCGGCTCAACTGACTCAACACAGCTAGGATAGCGACTTATGTATTAGGATAGTTAATTTTAAGGTAATTAAATGGCGGTGAAGGTATGGCTATTGGGGGAGGATGGAGGCCACGTATTTAAATAATTAATTAGTAAAAAAAAAAAAGTAGTAGTAGTAGTGGTAGAAATAACAGTAAGAAGTGGGTGAACCTGGAATTGTTCGGGTTTGTACTTGAGTGGCAGCTCATATATTGTAGCTTATGACCGCGACTACACTATTACCTACATTATAATTATACACTACACAATTTACACTGCATCCACTGCATCATAATTAATTAATTCACTAAACTATTTACACTTTTCATTTACACTTTCCTCTACAGCACTGCACTATATCTTTTAAGTGGGGGAGGGGGGTTTGCTCCTTCCCCCTCCACTAATTCAGACGTGTTTTATATGAGGGGGTTCTACATTTAGTAGTGGCGGAAGACCCCGTAGTGGTCAACACCCACACAGATAAACCGACACTGTGCTCTGTGTACTGTATACTGTATATAAATGAACCTCCGTGTACTTTTTGACAGTACACCAACTTCTGCTTCAGATGAGAGGAAATTTACATCACAGAAAGTTAACACACAATAGTGTTGCGGTAACTCTTACTAAAACAGGCAGGCAGACGGAAATACTAAGTATAACTGCTGTAAAGTTTGCTGTTGTCACTGTATAACAACTGCTCTACAGCTGGAGTAAAACCAGTGGAAGCGGGAGTTGTAAATACTACGAGGATTCACCAGTAACCCCCACTCAGGTAATGTACTCATCTTCACCCCATCATCCAGTTACAAGGAGCGATAGAGTAAATATGTTAAAAGTTCTTGTGTTACCTGTAAAAACCTTCAATATTTGCGATGCACTGGTAAAAGTTTAGGTGAACACATGATAAGCAAAATAGAATGTATATTTAAATTAACAGTCTCGACTACACACACAAAGGACCCATGGCTCTGAGAGGAGGAACCATCACAACTGGTTCATCTGTCAACCTAAGAGGAAGTCTGTGATTGACACTGAAATGTAAATATTGCTGACAGGGCATCGTGATGTAGTGGGGTGTGGCTGGATGCTTCTAGTAGTAATGGTAGAGTTAGTAGCATTGACATAATTATATTAATATAAGTAAATACACATTAGTACCTTCACAGAGGCTCGGTCATACAGGAAAGGCGTCTCGATCTTTGTGTTCAAAATACAAAGTACAGTCGCTGTCTTTGATAATGTCCCCGAGCGTAGTGTGGCAGACATGTTTCAAAGTTACGTACAGTAGAGTAAGCAATAAAACATAAGAGAATAACGTCACACACTGGGCATAATTTCAGGTTACCTTGATATTAACATGTGCTACCGATACTACAGTAGGACAGATCTCTTCGGGTTCTCACATGACTACTTAGAACTCAGCCAATAACTGGTTGAGGACCTTACATAGTACGTGTGGAAAACCTCCGTCAATACCTATTTCCCGAGTTTACTTCTAGTGCTTGGTCAGATATTCTTGCCAGCTCAGGACACAGGAAGGGTTCTCATTGTGAATCCATTTTGAAATTATTAGAGTTTAGTTGTTTAGTTTAGTTTTAAAAAGTGTTCCTGTGGTGGTGATGGTAGTGATGATTGTCGTGGTACTGGTGGTAGTGATGGCGCGGTAGTGGTGATGGTGGAAGTGGTAGTCATGGTAATGATGATGATGGTGGTGGTGGGACGGTAATGGTGGTGGTAAAGATGATTATGGTAATGGTAATGGTAATGGTAATGACGGTGATGATGGCGATGGTGGTGTTGATGGTGGTATTGATGGTGGTAATAGTTTCGGTGTTGGTGGTCGTAGTAGTTGTGGTGTTGTTGACAGTGATGGTGATGGTGATGGTAGTGGTAATGATGGTGATGGTGATGATGGTGATGGTGGTGGTGATGGTAATGTTGGAAGCCCACCAGGAGTTCAGTACATGTTTAGTTCAGGTAATATTCTCTTTCTCATGTTTTACCTTGTTGTGTAAACGTCGTGACCCGAAGAAATTTATTGATCCTTCGAGAACTAAGGTAAAATATGCTCCATTATACTGACAGGACAAAGTAAGCTAATATGCTCCATTAAATTGATAGGACAAACTAAGATAAAATTCTTCATTATACTGACAGGACAAACTAAGATAATATGCTCCGTTATACTCACAGGACAAACTAAGCTAAAATGCTCCTATATAATATGCTCCTTTATACTGACAGGATAAACTAAGCTAATGTGCTCCGTTATAATATGCTCCAGTATACTGACAGGAAAAAACTATGCCAATATGCTCTTTTATACTGCCAGGACAAAATAAGCTCGTATGCTCCATTATAATATACTTCATTACACTGACAGGACAAACTATGTTAATATGCTATTTTTTCTGACAGGAAAAAGTAAGCTAATATGCTCCTTTATACTGACAGGATAAACTAAGCTAATATGCTCCATTAAACTGACAGGACAAACTAAACTAAACTACTCTGTAATACTGACAGGACAAACTAAGGTAATATGCTCCGTTATAATATGCTCCATTTTACTGACAGGACAAACTAAGGTAATATGCTCCATTATACTGACTGGAGACACTAAACTAAAATGCTCCGTTATACTGACAGGACAAGCTAAGGTAATATGCTCCTTTATACTGACAGAACAAACTAAGCAAATATGCTCCGTTATACTGACAAGCGAAGATAATATGCTCCTTTATACTGACAGACCAAACTAAGCTAATATGCTCCGTTATATGACAGGACAAGCTAAGTTAATGTGCTCCTTTACACTCACAGGACAAAGTAAACTAAAATAATTAGAAAATGAGCATCGAATTCAACACAAACTTAGTTAAAATAATTTCTAACTATAAAAGTATCGAACGCAAATTTACCTGCATATTCTTTTTATAATCTTTATTCCTTTACTGGAGTGGGTCAAGGAAGAGAGACGGGTGCAGAGAGTGAGAGAAAACGTGTAGAAATATGCACACATACTTTTTCATCTTCACAGTGTTCATAGTTAGCGAGTCCGTCATCACGTTAGGGTCATAATTCTTTATTTATATCTTAAAATATATACACTGGGTGATGCAGGTATTGAACAAGGAAGAACAAGACCAGATTTTTTTTTTATTGAACTTTTATTCATATTAGAACACGACAGACTAGGCGGATGTCCTGCTTGGAAGGACGTAAAACCACATGACTGTCTTTCTCTCTTCTACTACATACATATATATATAATACTTTCTCTTACTGGAGTATGATAAGAAATAGTGATCCAGGTCTTACTGAAGTCCCGTGATGGTCTTCGTCTAGCAGGTGTATTTAAACCTCAAGATGCCTTCATTTCCTGTTCACTCTAAAGCCATACTGATCCCAGGTGATGCCCTGGGCGCGCTGCTCCTCGGCGATGCGGATCTGCTCGATGGCGTGGGCGGGGAGGGGGTGAGGGGTGGGGATGAGGGGGGACTCAGCACGGAATCCCAGTTCATCAGCGACATAGCGGACCTCAGCGTAGGTGCCGTCCGGGAGCGGGAAGCTGAGGGTGAAGGAGGAGAAGCAGGAGGAGGAGCAGGAGGAGGAGCAGGAGGAGCAGGAGGAGGAGGAGGAGGGGGGGGGGGAGAGGGGTTGTTAGATATAGTCATGGAGGATGTAAATGGCTGAACAAAAAATATCAATTTGTAAACAGACTGACAGACACACACAAACATATAGACAGATGGCTTGATAGACAGACACACACATTCAGAGTAATACTAACACACACACACACACACACACGCAACTACCCTCCTCCCGACCTCCATCCAACAGACACCAAGACAGAGACACACACACACACACACACACAGATAAACACACCAATATAATACCAGTATTTATCAAGAAGACACACACACACACACACACACACTATCGCCAGTACCAATCTCACGCCTCGAGAGTCACACACCTGATCTGCTGAACCTTGACCAAGACAGGAAGTAAGAGCAGTGAGCATCTATTGTTCCCCCGTCACCTGGGAGCCTTGAACCAGGTGAGTCTTTCCCTCCTACTTGGTATAATTTGTATCTCAACTTATAGGTAATGGTAGTGAATCTTGGTGTTTTATAATGGCAGCGAAGAGGTGTCACTTAAGTACTGTGTTTTGAGTTTTCTGTGGTGAATTTTTTGTTACTTGTTTTTTTTTACCTATTATTTTGATTTTCTTTTTGTATTATCTTTTATTATATTTTTTATAGGTGTTATATAATTTTTTTTAAGAGATTTATTATATTTTTCCCAAATGTTGATTCGAATTATGGAAAAAAAAACAAAAGAACCTAAACAAAACATCGCGAGTCTTTTGTTATTTTTTCATTTCGTCTTTTTTTTTCTTTTACTTATTATTCTTTTTTTTTATGATAGAGTACTTATTATTTTTTATTAACTGATTCCCTTCTTTCGAGCGATTTATTTCTTCATTCTCACGCGTCAGGAAGAAGTATTACTACTAGTCATTGTAAATTATCGCGTGATTGCTTGATTGAGATGGTTATATGATGATGAATGAATGAGTTTGTGATTTTCTTCCCTTATATTCACACGAGTTATTGTTTTTCTCTCTTATTACTTCATCTCTGTGTTATTTATGCTTATTATCTCTTTTTTGTGATTTTATTTAAGTTATTCTTTAAGCTTTTATGGTCTTTTGTTTTTTTTAGAAGGAATTTACTTTATTTCTTGGGGATTTTATTTTACTAGTGGCTGTTGTTTTTGTTTTGATGGGAAATTTGTTTAAGTCTTTGTTGTCTTATTAGGGAATGTGTTTTTTTCTTCCTGGTTACTGTTTTCTTGAAGGGAATCTCACGCTACTTTATTTCAGTCCAAAAATCGTGAAAGTAGGCGGATGGAAAAGTCAAATATCGAGACTTTCGGATCATTTAGCGAGTGATGCAACTGATTATATTATGAAATACTGATTGTTACCTTAAGTTCGGTCATGATGTAGTGAATTTGTACACAGCGCATCGTTTGTCTGGATTATCACCGATGGATAATTTAGGATTCGGGTTTGTATGATCTATTTGGATTTAGTGGGAAAATCTGATATTGATGAAATCTTTGGAACAATGAGTCGGTTTTTAGACAATGTTAACACAAGGAGTTATGAGAGGAAAGACACTAAGCTATCTGTAATGACCTACTTCCTCCTTCCCAGTGATCGACAGCCACGAGGCTCATGACTTTAACACAGCTCACGTGTAAGAGTTCCCGGTGATGGTGCCGCGTGAGGACTTACCTGTAGGAGCCCTGCATGTTGCTCTGGCCCTGAGACCCTGGAGCTCCGATTGCGTTTACCACGATGCCGTTCTCGGTCTCGAAGTCGTATTTGAAGTTACCATCGCCATAATTATCGTAGTTGCTGCTCAAGATGGCGATTTGGTTGTAGTCTCGTTGGCCCTCGTTACCTGGCTGGTTGAACTGGCGGCCACGTTGAGGGGCGGCGATGGCGACGGCGGCGAGCGAGGCGAGGATCACCTGAGGTACCAGACCAAGGCTTTGGTAAAAATTTTATATATACACACACACACACACACACACACACACACACACACACACACACACACACACACACACACACACAATACACACATACACATATTGTGTGTGTGTGTGTGTATGTGTGTATTGTGTGTGTGTGTGTGTTACTTATGTATATTCATAATTTTGAAGATTGAGAACTGAAATTTGGTAGGGAGATGAGGGAGGGCTAGGGGACGAGCGTACACTATCTCCTGTTCCTCCACAGGGTCGAAGTCGGGTAACTCAACTAGTATATTTATATGTTTATTTTGTGGTCTCCAGTTGCACTTATATTAGTTACTGTATTGCATTTACAGAAGTGACTATCGCACCTATCATAGTTACACTCTGTCGAGCCTACAGTTACGTGCTGTAGAATTCATACCAAATAGTAGCACTCATTGGTGTACTAACACTATCCATTCACCAAGAACACAATAATAATATATAAAAAAATTTCCTCAACTGAGGGCGAGTCCGTGAACCACCATACTGCCTCACCGACAACACCTTCTACACTATCAGTTAAAAAAGATAATCTCTCTGGCAAAAAACAAAAAAAAAAACAAAAAAAACATTCCAAATAGGACACATTTAGTCTCACAAAGAAACAAACAATCACATTAATATATGTCTCAACAACGTCTCTTGCACTCACGAGCTTCATGTTGGCGTGAGGTGAGGAATATGTCTCCAGCAGGGCTGAGGACGGCGTGAGAGTGAGGATGGGACGCTGAGGACGGTGTCTGAAGGAGGCCGGGGTGTGGGAGTGTCTGAGCCCTAAGGAGTGACGGGTCTTTATATATCTACCACTGCTTCCGAGGTCAGGCGGCTGTTCCTCTCCTCCCAAAATACCTGAAGGTGATGGAGGGTTGTCACATCTCCTGCAGGTCACGGAAGGTCAGGTGGAACATTCTCAGGCGAGGGTGTGGGTAGCCAGCTGCCACAGACCACGAACAAGATGAATATAAGATGCTACTTAATTAGTGCTACTTCAAATAATGGTGTTACTTATTGGTATTCGTTCATACATTAATTATACATCCGAATTAATAGCGTTACTTTAAATAATAAAATATATGTTACTTCAGGTAATTATCAAAAGTGGGAATTAATGGTGCTACTTCAACTTTTTTTAAGCCTCACTTTTGATGTTGTTTAAAATGTGACTCAAAGGTGTTAACTTAAAGAATTAATAATTGATGTTACTTATGTGTTACTTAGAAAAACATTACTTAAAGGGGCTACTTATCTCAGTTTAATGTCAAGTGTTATTGGTATTAATTATATTATGATTGTTACTTAAAGCTGCTACTTTTTGGCTTTGTTTATTGAAGTTACTGGAATGATTACTTAAAGGAACATATTACCACACTCTATATATACTTAAGTAACATCACACTCACTAAATAAAATAAAAAATCAACTTACTTAAACAAACTGACCTTGGCATGCTAACAATAACAGTACCGCTAAGAAGATAAACACTCAAGGATTTTTTTTATAAGATTTAAACTATTATTTTTATTCTATTTTATTGTTGTGGTTGTTTAAAATTCCGCCAGGTCATCCGAACTGGGGAACTAACAACATGCAACACACAATAAAGACTTCCGGTTCTGGTTAAGTACGAGGTAGTGATGACTTGAGATTTAATGTTTCCCCAAGGAGAGGATCCGTGTGTGTTTGTCTGGTGAGAGTCTTGGGATGTTCGCCTGGTGTTCCCTAAGGTAAGAATCTCTGGATA